GACCCGTGAGATCTCTGCTCTGCTCTCACGGTCCCTCTGCCCTCCTGCCTTGGCTCCCACCTCCTGGAAGTTTTACTCTCAGTTGCTTTCTTGAACCAAACACACATGACTGGTTTTGCCTTTTTTTTTTTAGAAAAAAGGAAAGAAAAAGAAAAGGGGAGAATTACTCTTTCGGATAAAGCTATTTTTTATTCCTCCTTCTCCCTGTTTTGACATGTATCGCTTCCCTCTTTGATAGCTGTACCTGCATATATAGGGTGTCTGGGTTTAGGGGGTATTATTCTCTTTTTTTTCTTCCTGATTCTCAGGATTTAGATTTAAGGCCGAGCATTAGAGGAAAAAAAATCCAATTGAAATAAGCATTAAAGCAATAGACCAAAGAAACCAGCCGTTACCTCCTTTGTGTTCAGCCACCAAAGCTGACCCTCCTCCGAGACGGGCACGGACGGGCACTGTGTCCGCTCCCTGGGAATGGGCCAGGGATGCTCCCCGCAGCCGGGGCACGCACCAGCGACCCTGCGAGCTGGGTATTCCCCCCTTCCCAGCCCTGGAAGGTTCATTAAACCCCCGCGCTAATTCAAGCTTGTTTTTTCATGAGAAAAGTCTCTTCTCCAAATCTTCCTCCAGTGGGCTTTATTGGGTTTGACAGGTTTCAACCTTAAACCCGGAGACCCTATGTATATATTTATATATAATGTGTATATATACTGGTAGACTGTACAGATATATCTAGAGACATATGTAGTTCTCGACTGATTTCAACTTAATGGTATTTTCACTCCTACTCTCCGCAGCAGTGAAAATAAAATGATTCACAAGGGACCCAGAGCCGCGGTCAGACCTGCCTCTCTCTCATCCATCCTCATCTTCCTCGCTGCATGGGAGCTGCCGCTTCATTCAGGACCAGATTTCCTCTGTTGCGGCCAACTTTTCCAACAGTGGGAGCTCGGGAGACCCCGGGGGTCCCCGCAGCGGGAGGGTGGTGGGCTCGGGGGCTGCTTGTGCTGTGCCCTGCTGGAACCGATGGTGGGCTGGACCCCCAAGCAGCGCCAGCACGCCTGCAGAGTGGCGGTGGGCAGGCTGTGGAGCATGTGCCTGTCTTAACGAGCACCTCTGCTAATTAAGAGAGCCTGACCTCGGCTGCGGGTCCCAGGGCCGTGGCTGCAGCTGATGGGTGTTATTGTGCCCGCAAGCCGGCTGGCAGAAGCCAATAGCTGCATGCACTGCATGTCAGGGCAGGTTGCACGAACTCGGGCTGAGCTGCCCTCACGTCACCTTCGTGCTCCCAGGGAAGCCGGACGAACGTCCCCAGGGTGAGTTTGCCCCGGGGGGCAGCACAGAGGGGCCCCAGGGCGTGCGTGGGGGCAGCCGGCGGGGAGGCGTCTCTCCCACCCACAGCAATGAGCCCGGATCCATCCCCAGGGCTGCGGTGGTGCGGGGTGTGTGCGTGTTTTCACACGAGCAGAACGGGTGTAGGCAGCGACTCATCCTTCTGCCCATCGCTGCAGCTTCAAAAATCTCCTCTTGCTGCTGCTCTCCCCACGTGAATCATGAGCGGAGAGGGAGGACGGCTGTGGGCGCGGGTGCGAACGCATGGGCTGCGGCGTGGGGCTGCTCACGGGAGCGTGCACGCTGGCGGGAGGGGGATGCGTGTGTGTGTGCAGAGCAGGCGCAGGCAGCCAGCTCCCCGTATGTTTTTGTGCTGGAGAATAAAATCTCTGTATTTTGTGATCGGGGCGTGAATCATGCACCCCCGGGTGTGCATTCACTCCCTGCCTCCCCAGGCATGTCAGCTCTGTCTCCCGGGGGAGCTGAGCACCGCAAAAGCAGGGAGCTCATTTCTCTCTGCAAACAGCTGCTGTGCTGCCCTGGGACTGGGACCTGGGCCGGCGGCGTGGGAAGCTCTCCCCTCGCCGTGCGTGTTGTGGGGTCACGGGGAAGGCTGGAAACCCCTCGTTGGTGGAGGCTGAGTGGGGCTGCTGGGGTGGGCATGGCAGGGCTCCCCAGCACGATCTGTGCTGATCTTCCCAGTGCTGGGGAGGGAGCTGTGGGCCCACTGGGCAGCAGCTGGATATGGCGAGAGGCAGTTTGGAGCAGGATGAGTTACTGCTCAAATCAAACCCCCTTGCCGCTGGGGACCCCCCCACCCCACTTGCGGGTGCCTGAGCAGGGACCCCTCCTGCTGGGAGGGTTTGCACCGACCCTTTGGGTGACGCCATCCATGCAGGCGTTCGCTGTGGCTGCTGAGACGCCGCTGCCTCTGGGGATAAGGGAAGAAGTGGGCACCGGGACGGACACCAGCTCCTTCTCTAAGGCAGCAAAACAGCCGCCCCGGGGCCCCCACTGCCCCGGGGCCCCCCGCCAGCCCCAGCCCAGCCCAGACTTTTGCTTTGCAGCAGTTTCCACCATGCTGGGCTGCCGGGCAGGAGCTGCCCCCTCATCATCCCCACAGCTGGAGCAGAAGGTGCCATCCGAAGGCCAGGTCCCCCGCAGCCGTGCTGGACCAAAGCCCCTGCTCCCTGGGGCGGGACAGACTCAGCCGCTGACCCTGGGCAAGCGCCTGCAGCCCCTCCAAACAGCGGAGGCACCGGGTCATCTGTAACGCCCTCCCCAGCTGCCACATCGCCTCCATCACGGTGGCTGCCGAGCCGCCTAATGAGGGGCTTAACGAAGCTTAGCGGTGGCCCTTTGCTCCGCTCCGTGCGGAGCGGGGCTGGGGCTGCCCTGGCAGGGGGACGCTGGGGGCGAGGGGGCTGCGGGTGCGTGGACAAGGCCCATGCCCACTGGTGGGGGGCTGCCAGGGTGTCCCTGCCTGCCCAGCGAGCACCGGCAGATGGGTGCGACATCTCGGGTGGGTGAGCGCGTGGGCTGCGATCTGCCTGCGAGAAAGAAGAACATTTTTACGGCAGTGGGTGGCTGTGTGTGCACAAGGCTGCCCAGCGCTGCGAGGAGCCCGTCGGGCTGTCGTGCGCACCCTGCCCGTCCTGGGGTGTCCCAACCCCACAGGACACGTCCCTGGCAATGACATCCCCCCCTCCAGAGGATGAAGCAGGGCCATGGTCCCCGAGCTGAGCCCTGTGGGGGGGGTATCAAGCAGGCCCCTGCCCCAGGGCACATGGGTGTACACAGGGGGAGATGGGGGACGTCCCCCATCCTACCCCAGTGGGGGGAGCAGCGCTGTCCCCCCCCATCCACGTCAGCTCCCCCTCCCCAAACCTGCCCCACGTTTCCAAAGCAACAGTGTGCAGAGGGGCGAGCGGCGCCGAGCCCCGCGGGAGGCAAGGGGGGGGGGGAGCCGAATCTCACCAGCCATCTGGCTGCTGGGGTGGGCCTGTGCAGACCCCCGAACCTGGGGAGCAGCAGGTCCCCCCACACCCTCCCCAGGGCTGGGATGCTCACTGCGCCCCGGGGTCCCACCCAATCGAAACCCGGATCAGCAAGGGGGGTTGCGCCTGGTGCTTTGCCATTCCTGCATCCCTGGGGACGGCCCCAGCTGGAAATTGCTCTGTGGCTTGGCAGGACCTGGGCTTGTTGGGGCAGGGATGGAGCTGGCTGTGCCCAGCGCTGTGTCCCCCCATCATCCATGGGGACAGCAGGGCAGGGAGCACAGCATGCTCCCCGTCCCGTCCCGTCCCGTCCCACCCCGTCCCCCAGCCCCAGACACAAGCCTGGGCTGTTGGAGGACAGCCACCACTGGGGCTGGCTCACCCCTGGGGACAATATAATGTCCCAGTGGGGGGCTGCCAGCTTGATTGGCCGCATCCTGCCTCTCCCCTCGGCAGCAGCCGTGCCAGGCCCCTCCATGCAGCCCCCCCCTCCTCTCCATGCATTAAAAGCCCAGCAGCCCTTCCCCAGCCAGTGCACCAGCCCCCGAGAGGAGAACAGGGCTCTCCCACGCCGACGAGGAGGGGAAAGGGGGTACGTCCATGCCATCTTCTTTCTGCTCCTCCAGCACCGAGCAGAGCCCCGCAGGGCTGGGGTGAGCTGCAGGGCTGGGAGGGTTGGGGGCCGGCAGCGCATGCGGGGGGCTCCCTGCACTCGTAAAGGTTTGGTCTGTGGGAAATGGGCAGAAATCAGGGAGCAGCATCCTCAGCCTGGGGTGCAAAAACTCTGGGCTGGGTCATTGCTTTTGCATTTGGTTTGGGAGAGACGTGTGGGAGGCTGCCGGTTGCTGGGCCCCTCCGCCTGCTCTGCTGTGGGTGCACAGGTGGGCGTGCAGCCCGTTGGGTGGGCGATGCTGCAGCACAGGGTTCACGGTGGGTGCTGGGGACCCATGAGCAGGGGCCAGCTTTGGGTGGGAGTGAGCTCCCTTTAGGAATGGACCCCGGTGGGTTTGGGTGGGGGGCTGCCAGAGGCACCCTGCCCGGGCTGCAGAGCCGGGGGGTCCCCGTGCAGGCAGCCCCTGTGCTCAGGGTCGAGTCACAGGTACCCTGTGGCCACCAGTCCCCCCGGCGCTGGCTTGCCCGGGATGCTGGAGGCTGAGAAACATCTCAGGGCTTTGGACCTGGGTGCAGGAGCAAGGGGGATCGAAGGGGAGAGCAGCGGAGTGCCAGGACTCCTGCAGTCATTTCTGCTTGGCTGCTGGGTTTATTGGGCCAGCAACCAGCTTCACCCACTGCCTTGAGGGGCCGGAGCAGGACCCCAACCCCCTCATCTGCTTCCGACCCCCTCACCGCCTCCTCGGGGCTGGGAAAGCCGGGAAGCGAGGGCAGCCCGGCACGGGCACGGGGCCTCTCCTGCACAGCCGCCCAGCCGAGTGTGAAATGGGCTGAAAAGAAAAGGGACGGCGTAATGTTCCCAGGGCCGGGGGCGAAGGCCGGCTGGCCCCCGCGGTGGCCGCAGTCCCCCGCACGGCTGCCGAGCGGGGCTGGCTGCGGACGGCATGCCGGTCCTGCCTTCCCATCCCTCTTTGCTTTCACTCCTTTGCAACCATTTCAGGGCACCTGGCCTCATCCTGCCCGCATTGCTGACCCTGTCGGAGCCCTGTGCCCCGCAGGACCATGGTCCCCAGTGCTGCCCTCGGAGCGGTGACCCTGGTTGGGTGCAGGATGCGGACCCTGGCCTGGCTGGGCATCGCCAGCCTGTGTCTGGGGGCAGCTTGGGCTGTCCCAGCCAAGGAGGAGAGGAGGAAGGCAGAGAAGCCAAAAGCTGATCTTGCACTCTATGAAAACCTGGACCTGGACAACTACGACCTGACGTTGGACAGCTATGGGGAGATCCTTGACCTGAGCAACTATGAGGAGCTCTACGACTACGGTGACCTTGCTCCGAAGGTGAGGGGGATGCAGGAGAGCACCCGGCGCACAGGGCAGGTCTTCCCTGGGTGCATCCCGAGAAAGGGGCTTGGTCCAAGGGATGGATGGGGCACAGCTGGAGAACCAGCCTCTGGCACAAGCCTACGAGCCCTGGTGGCTCTTCCACCACTCTTGCTGGTGGCAGGAAAGGCTTTACCTGACCCCGACCTCCACCGGCCTCCTCGTCCCCTGCCAGCGCCTGCCCAGAGCATCGCTGCGGGAAGCCAGGACCTGAGCCTTCCTGCATCCCTCTGGGCAAATAGGGAGGGGGTTCTGAAACCCTGAGCTAGGAGAGCTCTCCAAGGAGGAGCTGGCTTTTCAATAAGACCGACCCAGTGCCCTTGACCCCTTGACCAGTGCCTCCTGCACTGGAGGGGAGCGGGAGGACTCGCTCGGCCGCCCCAGCCCTCACGCCCAGGCTGTGTTTGCAGATCGAGGTTGGCACCCTGGCTCCTCGCCCCAAGGACCCCGCAGCCCTCCCAGACCTGGGCGCCACGGCTGAAACCCCAAAGCTGCAGCCTCCGACCACCGCCGGCCCCGTCCGCCTGGCGCCCGTCCCCCCGCAGGGTGAGTGCGGACCCCTGGGTGCAGCACAAAGGTGCAGCCAGGGGGGTTTGGTTCCCGTGGGATGCAGCCACATGTCCCAGGCGTGGCGGGGCTGCTGCTCTGCAGAAAAGGGAGCAAATCCTTTTGCCACCAGCAGACAGTAGCTGTTATTTGCTCTGCCCGGGGTGTTGGGGGTGCATCTTATCACACAGCAGGCAGGAGGGCTGCAGCGAGACATTTCTGGGAAACAAGAGCTCCAGCAAAGCAGCAACATTTTAATGAGCAGAGGCATTGCGACAGTCGGACAGAGTAGCAATTAGATTAGTGACAATTAAAATCCTGTAGCGAGGGATAAATATCTTTATTCATTTTCTGTCACTCTGGACTGGGACAAATTAAGTAGGAGGCAAAGGGAAATTGTTGCCTTGCTGCTTTGAACTCCCCCACTAATGGATGCCGAGTCTCGCGGGCACTGGGGGAGAGGAGAGGGAGCACATGCATGGGGGGACACGGCTTTACCTCTCCTGCTGCCCCTGCCCGCCTTGCCGGGACCCTACACAGCCGAGACAGATGTTTTGCTCGATGCAAAACTGTTTTCTTTTGTTCTGTTTCCTTCTGTGGAAAAACTAAGGGGGCCAAGTGAGCCCTGGGTGTAACGCTGCTGTGTTCGGCAACCTTGCATCCCCCCCTCTCCTGCGGGAGGGATTTGACCCTGAGCAGCTTCATGTATTAGCAGCTCTTTTGGCTGGGAGTTTCTGGCCCTTCCCTTGGTGAGGTGCCCTGGGCTGTTTTGCTGATGAAGGTGCTGGGGCTGTGACAGCTCCGGGTGCTAAAGACTTCGTGTACCCACAGCATGGGCAGGGGTGGGCACATCCTCCCATCTCCCTGCATGCTGGGGTGCTTTGGGGGGGTCAGGGGAGCCGCGCCGTGCCGTGCCATGCCAAGGGCTGCCTCTGCATCCCCAGGCCTGCCCAGCTGCCTGCTCTGCCTGTGCATCGGCACCTCCGTCTACTGCGACGATGCCGACCTGGAACACATCCCCCCGCTGCCGCCCGAGACCACCTACCTTTACGCCCGCTTCAACCGCATCGGCGCGATCCGGGCCAGCGATTTCACAGGGCTGAGTATGTTGAGGCAAGGGAAGGGCCAAGCTCCACAATGGGGCATGGGGGGAATAAGCGGTTCTGCGTGGGTCCCTGTTCATCTCCTCCCTCCTCTCCCACCAGAGAAGCTGAAGCGAATAGACCTGACCAGCAATTTCATCTCCTGGGCGGACGTGGATGCCTTCCGCCTGCTCCCCAGCCTGCAGGAGCTCATCCTGCCCGAGAACAGGCTGACGGCGCTGCCCGAGCTGCCCCGCAGCATCGTCCGCCTGGATGCCCGTCTCAACAGGATCGCCAGCACCGGCCTCCGGCCCGAAGCTTTCAGGGTGGGTGCTGGGCAGCACCCACCAGTGGATGAATCCAGGCTGGTTTTAGCCCAAACCTGTCATGCCAAGGGGTAACAGGGTTGGTGCAGAGGGCCGGAGCGGGGCTGGGAGCAGGGAGCTTCATCTCTCCCCTCTTCCCGCAGGACCTGAAGCAGCTGCAGTTTCTCCATCTGTCTGATAACCAGCTGGACCATATCCCGGCGCCCCTGCCCGAGAGCCTGCGCTCCCTGCACCTCCAGGTGAGACGAGCCTGGACCCAGGCTTGTGTGTACCCGAGTCTAGCAGAGCCCGCCACCACCTCCTCCTCTCCCTCCTCCTCCTCCCCATCCCTTTGAATCTGATTTTGCCCTTTGCCTCCCTGGCCAGAACAACAACATCCAGACCATGCATGAGGACACGTTCTGTGACAGCCAAGACCACAGCCAGATCCGCAGGGCGCTGGAGGACATCCGCCTTGACGGCAACCCCATCAACCTCAGCCTCTTCCCCAACGCCTATTTCTGCCTGCCCCGCCTGCCCACAGGCCGCTTCTTCTGAGCAACACGGCCCCAATGCTGGGAAACAAGGGCAAGCATTCCCGGACACACCGTGCCCCCACCCCAGACCCCCTCGGACCCTGCTGCCCCACGGAAAACGTGGGGTTAAGGCAGATGCATTTAACCCCGGTGTGAGCTGAGCCTCTGTGTAGGGGTGAACTCGGTTCTGGGGCACACAGAGCAGGGGATGGGAAGCTCTAATAAAATGAAGACTTTAAAAATGCATTCAGTGTCTTGTTCTCAGCCCCGCCGTGTCTGCTTTCAGGGTTTACTGGACAGGGAGCGGGAGCTGCATTGCTCCAGAGAGGCGATGCTTTGGCCACATCAGGTTTGACCTGTGTGATCAGGCTGTCCCCTCGGCCGTCCCCTCAGCCGTCCCCAGGTCCATCAGGCCGGGCTGTGTGGCTCCGGAGGAGTGTTGCACACCCAGATGTGAGCTGGGGCCACAGCTGGCCTGTCCTCATGTGCTCCGAAAGAGGATGCAATAGGAAACCTCAGCACGGGGCAACCGGAGTCCTCCATCACCTCACCCCAGACCCGCTGCAGTCCTGTGGCCCCTGCTCCGCAGGGACCCTGACCCCCACTGGGACTGGGAGCTGCCCTGGTACCAAGTGGGGTCTCCAGCATGAGCTCTGCCCGGAGGGAGAGTGTCCCTGCATTTGGGTCTGCTTCAGCTGCAGAGACCGGCTGGACCAGCACCGGAGCTTGCAAGCCGAACGGCCCTGGGTCCAGCAGGGAAGAATCACTCAGAGATAGTTAAAATATCTTGTACCGTCCCAGCTTTCAACACCCAAAAAGAGCTGCCCAGTGGTGAGATATTTTAAATATAATGTATTCATCCTCTATATTTTTATACACATGTAACAAACACGCATACCGTGAGAGGGATGACACATCCCTGGAGAATCCAAAATCCCAAACTGAAACCACTGAGCTCAGCCCACATCCTCCAGGGCCGGGGAGGAAAACTAAGGCGGCTGGAGAAAACCTCGCAAGAAGATCCAGCTTCTCATCCATGGGCACGCTGCAAACGCCGCTGGGCGCTCGTGCCTGCAAGCCTGCCTCCTTGGCACAGCACGGGCACGAGCATGCCAGCAGCTGGTGGCACAGAGCGTGTGTGTGTGTGTGCTCCATTTCTCTCCTCTTGCCTTTCTTTTCCATGCAAAACCCAACTCAGACACGGATTATGTTGATGCAAAAGCCAGGGCCCTTTGTAAATGGGAATTCAGAGCCATCCCAGCCTTTCCTTTCAGGCTAGATCGAAAATGCCAGGATTTGTTACTGCTGTTGTCAAGTCATCCTTGAAAGAGCTGTATCTATCTCTCTCTATCCCCCCGTCTCTCCGCCTTCCCCATCCATCCTTCTGACACCTTCGCACTGTCCTTTACCCCCGGTTATCTCATCTGCTCCCCTGGGATGAGCGATTGCTACGAGCCCGGCTCGGCTCCAGCGAGATGGAGTTGGCCAAGGCTCCCAACGGCGAGCCCCGGTCCTTCGCGTTCATCCCACTAGATGGCAAGGCAGAGTGTTTGGAAATGCCTGACCTTAACTTCGGACTGCAAACTCACTCTGCTGTTTGCCTCCCTTCTGGGGTGGCTTTGTCGTCTCACGGGCATGCCCACGCAGCTGGGGAATAGCCCAGGTGCTTGGTGTTGGCAGAGGAAGGATTAAAAGGAGCTGATAGGGGAGAGAAGGGTTTGCTTTGTGGGGGAAGAGAGCAAGGTAGGTGGAGGGATGTCTCTGGGGGAGATGGGGCTGCTGGCTTTGCAGAAACCAAACTTTTCTAAGAGCAATGGGGTGGCTCTGGGGGGGCTTTGCTGGGGGGAGCTGAGGCTCAGCAGTGCTGTCTTGTCTCGCCTGGCTCTCAGGTCCCCCCGCTCCCCTGGGGAGGAGGGAGCGGGCTGGGGCAGCAGGTCGTCATCTTCCCTGAAGCCTGGGAGGGGGCCGGGCTGGGGCTCTCTTTGGGAGGGGGCTGCTGGGGGCTCCGCTCTGCTCTGCTGCCGGTGCAGTTATGAACCGTGCTCTCGTGTCCTTGCTGCTGCCAAGGTGGGGAAAGAACACGACGCCT